CCCGGGCCCCGGAGGCAAGAGGGAACCTTGCCCCCTCCCCCGCGGGCCCCCCCCCCCCCCCCCCCCGGGGGGGGGGGGGGGGGGGCACGCCCCCCCCCCCCCCCCCCCCCCCCCCCCCCCCCCCCCCCGCTGGTGTGTCCATGCTCCTGTAACACGTCAGCCAGGAGTGTCTGCCCCAGGGCCCGAGAGGCAGAGAGGAATAAGGGAACGTGACACAGCCAAGCCCGCCACTGGCATGCCAGGTTCTGTCCAGTCATGTCTGCTGCCATCGGAAGAGAGTTTCCTCCTTTGTCCTTGAACAGGTCTGGGGATCCTGCAGTTCTTGGATGGTGATAGTGTCCCGGGTTCACAGAAGGGGAAACAGGGTTTCTCTGGGACCCTCTCCCCAGGGCTGGTCTCCAGGGCAGCCACGGTCTCTCCTTGGGCCGCGTGGGCCAGGGAGCACGTCAGCAGCAGGGTCACCTGTGGGAGTCGCAGCTCTGGGGCACCGCACCGCTGCAAGGCGGGTCAGCAGGGGGTGTGGGGAGCGCCCTCTGTGTACTTAGGGCATGCAGTTTGAGCCTCCTCAGGCTTCTCCACGTGGTGTCCTTCCTTGCCATGGACAGAGGCACACAGAACAGAGGCAGCCCCTGCCACTGGAGCCCTGCCTGCCTCCATTCAGGAGTGACACAGGGTGTTAGCCTGGAGTTTTCAGTAACCCTGCCCCCCGGCTGGCTGCTAACAGCCATGGTACAGCCCTGTGGGGGTTCAGATGTGAAGAGTGGGCAAGCTTCCTCTTCTTCCCCAATGCCTGCTCTCACAGGGGACCACGCCACCCCTGGGCTGTGCCCACAGGTAGACAGAGTTGAAGCTGGGAGGGGGCTGTAGAAAGACCATCTCCACACAACTCTTGGTTTTGCCCCTGGGTGTGTCTGGGGCAGGCCCCCCCAGTGCCATGGGGCCACGTGTTCTTCATCTGCAGATGAACTCCATTCTTGTTGAGCATTTCTTAGCCCTGGTGGGGAGAAGCCATGTTGTGAGGAGGAGCAGTGCACGTGAGGAGGCCAGCTCAGCCTCTGCCGTCTTCTCTTTCAGACGGGGTCCAGGCCCAAGTCCTGCGAGGTCCCTGGAATCAAGTAAGTCTCAGCAGGGCCCACCCTGTGTGCCCAAGGCCACCCTGGGCTGCTTGGACGATGCCAGGGCTTCCCCTCCGTTCATGAGGCTACATATCCTGACAAGAGGGACACTGTGCCGCTGGCAGCCACCCAGCAAGCCCCACCGCAGGGGGACACGCCTACCGCTCCTTCCCTGAGATGACAGAGCCCCTGTCCTAGCCCCAGCACACTCACCCCTCAGACACAGTGGGAGGACCCTCACCCCGGCCCCCATCCCACAGGGATAGGCTGCTTCCTGAGGTTCCACTGGAGGTGCTGACAGTCGTTTCTCCAGCAGGGCAGTGCCTAATTATGGGGTGTCATTTTGCGCCTACGAATTTTTTTGCACCAGCCTTCTTCTGCCCCTGCCACAGCTTTCGTGGGAGAACAGGCCAGCCGCCACCCCGAGAGCTCACCGCCCCCTCTGTCTGGCCTTTCCCCCCAGCATCTTTCCATCCGCCGACCAGGAAAACACTACAGCCCTGATCCCTGCCACCCACAACACGGGGGGCTCCCTGCCTGACCTGACCAACATCCACTTCCCCTCCCCCCTCCCGACCCCGCTGGACCCCGAGGAGCCCACCTTCCCCGCGCTGAGCAGCTCCAGCAGCACCGGCAACCTCGCAGCCAACCTGACACACCTGGGCATCGGCGGTGCCGGCCAGGGTAAGGCTGGGCTGGGTGGCGGGGACACTCCCTTCCCTGACAGAGGTCACCGTCTAGTGAGAATGACAAGTGTGTTTGAATGATGACTTAGCAGGGTCACGTCCAAAATGCCAGGCATGGGGGTGGAGCACAGAGTCCACCACGGGGGTTCAGGGTTGCCAGGCTGACCCAAGGGGAAAGGCATCTGGGCAGAGGACACAGCCTGGGCAGAGGACCAGGGCTGGGAAAGCTCATGCTCCCAGGGATGGGACCATGGTTCTTAGGGGGGGCTGGGGGCTTCAGAGACTTGGGGTGTGCCAGGCTTTCCTCATGCCCTTCATCAAGGGACAGGCCTGATCTGTTCCTCTCCCCCGCCTCTCCCACTCCCCCCACCCCGACCCCCCAATCCCCCGACCGTGGCTGCCTGCTTAGGATGCTCCAGCCCGGCCCCCTCCCCTGAGGACGTTTCATGGGCCCCTGGCCTGTCCCAGTATCCCCCAGTGCTGCCCCAACCCTGTTCCTCCTCGGGACTTCCGGCAGCACCGTCCTCCTATGACTCAGGCAGGGACCCTGGAGGTGTCCCCCTCCACTCAGACCCTCTCCCCTGCGTGGCCTCCATCTGCTTGCTCCCTGACCAGCCCCTGCCTCTTCTCCACCCAGAAGGGCCATCAGCTCATGGCCCTCCTCTGGTCAGGACCTTGCACAGCACCTCAGTTTCCTCCCTAGTGAAAGCTTGAGACCCGCGGGGCCCCCTAATTCCTGCTGCCCATGCCGACTCCTCTCCAGCCAACAGGCTTACCGCGGGGCCTTTGCACATGCCACCCCACCCACACAGCGCTCCTCCAGGCTCCTCACCCCGTTCCCTACGCAGACCGCCTCCCCTCCCCTCTGCAGGCCTTCCTGACTCCCTGCCCATGCCCCTGCCCATGCCCCCTCTCACACTGGGTTGCTTTTCTGCACTCACCGTGCTGCTGTTGAGTCACTATTTTGCTCTTTCGTCTGTCCCCTGGGCTGGGCCTTGATCTCCCACGCCCTTGATCTGACCCCTCTACCCACGTTGACTGTGGGAGGCGTGGGTTTGCGCCCAGGGAGGAGACAGGACGGGCCCCCAACAGCCTGGTGGTGGGACTGGCAGAAGGGGCCGTGGGGACTCACATGTGTCCCCACATGTGTCCGGACTCGGCGGTCGGTGAGAGCACTGCCTCGCTGTGCTCTCCCTGTGTCCTGGAGCCACAGCACAGGTCAGCGCTCAGCCCCCGTCCACAGGCCCACGGCACCTCCGCCCCGACCATGGTGGGTAGCGCCGCGCAGGGTTTTCTGAGAATCACACACTCACGTTCGTGTTTGCCACACTTCCTCTGACTGCCCCGGGGAGAAGCTGACTGTGAGGAATGGGCGGCAGCCCCTGGGCCAGGGCAGAGCCCCATTGGGAGCTTTGCAGAGAGATTTCAGGGTGAAATTGGCCAGCCTTGGAGCCAGGTTGATTCAGGGAGTGAAGGAGAGCAAGGAGCCTGGAGTCATTCCCGGCTTTGGTGCCGACCGGGCCAGGGCCAGGTGAGGGTGGTTGAGGGTGGTGCAGACGTTCCCTAGGTATTTAGGCGAGGAGATAGAGGCCAGAGTGGTGAAGAGGAGAGAGACATTCTGCCTCATGCCATTTAGGCCGTGTTCTTTTTCCCATGCACCTGGCCCCGTGCTCGCTGAGGCTCAGCCATCGGGCAGAGGGTACTGGCCCTGGCCGTGTGCACCCACTCACCCACCCACACCTCCAGGGAAGGCCCAGAAGGCAAAACGAGCAGATTCAGGGGAGCCCCAGATCCGTGGCCCTCCCACCAGTGGGTGGGCAGCGTCCACAGATGCCCGTGCAAGGAAGGAAATCAGAAGGTCGGCCCTGGGGCTGCTGGCCCTCGGGCAGAGAGTCGCTGTTTCCCGGCCCCCGTTTTTCTCTTCACGCCTTGGCAGCAGCCTCCAGGGCACCACCCCCTCCGCTGGAGGGCCCTTGGCAGCCCCCCAGCGCCCGCCCGGGCGCCTCGCACCTCCAGCCCGCGCCGAGTCTAAACAAGTACAGGAAAACACAACACATGTGAAAACCATAGATGCGGGAATGAGTGCAGACCCCGAGCGTGGGGCCCAGACCCCAGCCTGCCTGGCTCAGAGCTTCGGCCCGGTAATGTCTGACATGTGTTCGGTTGTTTGCGAACCTGCCGCGCTCCAGCAGCTCGCCTGGCGGGGGCCTCACTCTCCGGGTGTGTTTTAAATCAAGCAGAGCCACCGGCCCCTGGCACACATGGAGAGCGCCCCCCACACCACCCGGCCCACCCTGCAGTCAGGACGGGAGCCGGTGGAGGAGGAGGACGGAGGCCTCCGCCGCCAGGGAGACAGTGGCCCCTCTCATCTCCTTCCAAGTTTGCCAAAGTCGTTTCCCTGGCTGCATGCCGGAAGCGGGAAGTGGGCAGGCTGAGGTCCTCCTTCCCTGCACAGCTCCGTGGCCAGCTAGCCCCGTGCACAGGGCTTCCATGCCACTGGGGCGGGCTCCTGCCACCTGGGCTGCCCTCCCCTGGCAGCTGTCCCTGCCCACGCTAGGCTCCCCTTCCAGCTGGCCCCACTTCTTTTCCTAAAGTTGATCCAGGTTGTCAAAAGGAACTCAACAGCAAGGCATCCCTCGGCCCTCCTGGCCCAACTGGTGTCTCAGGGGGTGGTGGCCGCCCCATGTGAGGCCAGGAGCTCACGTTACAGCCTAGCAGAGGATTAAAAACTCCCTTGTCTTCAGGACAGACGTCAGAGGCGGCAGCTGAAGGGCCAAATCCAGCCCCCCAGCGTATTTTGGCTTTCTTACACGATTGTGTGTGTGATGCTTTGAATTGACATTCAAATATGCACATAAAAACCTGGATTTCCAGCTTCTCTTGAAGAGTCAGGCCCAGCAATGGTGGGTCGAGGTCGTGTGCCTCAAGCTGGGCTAGAGCACTCCAGTTTGCTGCGGGCCCCTCCCGTCCCCGTCGCCCCTCTGTCCCCGCCACTCTTGGCATCTGCCCCCGCTGCTTACCGAGCCCCGACATCTGCTCCCGACGTGCATGTTGAGCGTTCCTCGGCCCGCTGGACACATGAAGCGTCAGATGCTCAGAGAAGACGAGGGAGCAGTGCAGGGTCCCGACTCCCAGTGTGCTCTCAGCAGGCGTCTTCCGGACTCCTCCTGACTAGGCCTCTGTCGATGGCTCCCTTGACGTCGCTGTGTTTGCAGCAGCCTGATTCTGGGCCCAAGGTCTGTGCAGAAACTGGCCCCCGGGGGCTCCGCTACAGGAGCTGTCGACGGTGCCAGGCCCCCCCAGCAGTGCTCAGCCGAGTGGAGCGGCCAGGGCATCCGAGGGGAAGTGCAGGCGTGACCGGGCTCGCCTTGCACAGATGACACAGCCCCAGCGAACAGCTGCCTGGGGTAGAGGGAAGGCTGCCCGTCATCTCCCGTCAGTGTATGCTGGGTGCGTTCTTGCCAGCCCTGGAACCTGCCACCTCACCCGCTGGAACCAGGTTGATCCGGTGCCCTCCGCGGGGTGGGCCCAGCTCCCCCAGTGAGTCAGGCACCTTCACCTGGCCTTGACTGCTGGCCAGATTCTCTCGGAGCCTGCTCACGACCTCCTCAGGGCCTCGCGGTGAACTGGAGAGGACAAAGAAACTGAGTCTGGGGTGATCAGGCCAGGCCCCCAGGGCTCCCCTCCTGCCCCCAGCATCAGGGGGCCCATTGCTTCCCTGGCACAGTGCCCCAGGATCCTCTGGCAGGCCCCAACACACTGAACTTGACCTCACTTAGCTCCTTCACAGCAGACACATCCAGGGATCAGATTGCTGGGGGAGGGGGCCAGGGTGAGGGAAGGGGTGACTTGGAGCACCCCCGCCCCCAGCAAAAGCTCCATCAGGAAGAAGGTAAAATAACTGAGTTTCTTGCTCAGGTATCCTGATGGGGTTGGTGCTGCAGCATGGGGAGTGCATGAGGTGGGAGGAGAAGGTTGTGGGTGCGTGTTGTGGGGGGAAGGGCTGCTAGATACAGAGGTCGGGGCCAAGAGGAGATCTGGCCAATGGAGCAGTTATGGGAAGGGGCACGTTCACGGAATGGGGGTGAGGAGAACGATGAGGCTCAAGAAGAAACTGCAGCATCAGGCAGCACCGATTTGGTTGGAGCTAACCAAAACCCAAGCCATTTTAGGAAAAAAAAAAAAAAAAGGAGGGAGACTGTCTCTGAAACCAGGGAAGTGCCAGCATGGCTGGATCTGGGGCTCAGGTGCTATCTCTGCCCCTCATTTCCCTTGTGGTTACCAGGATGCCTCCTCACACAATTCTGGACCTCCCTTCCTGGAGTTCCATCAAAAGCCCCCGGGCAGGGTCTCATTTGGCCAGCCTAGTCACATGTCCATCTGGGGGCCAATCATGCGGTAGCCTAGAGGTGGGGAAGCGCTGATTGGCAGGGCCTGCGGGACACGCCCCTCCTGGAGGGATGGCAGGATCTGTGGGGAGAGTGTTGGTCAGCACTGGAGGTGGGAGCCCATGCAGAGCTGGGGGACCCTGAGGTCAGGGTATCGGGACCTCAGAGGGGGCATCCCGGGTTTGGTGATCAGGATGTGCCCACTGGCGTCTGTCTGAGCGATTGGACTGTCCTCAGCAATGACCCTGGGTGTGTGAGTGCCCCCTGCCATGATCCCAGTGGCTGGCATCATGCCCACCCTCCCTTCCTTTCAGGGATGAGCACACCTGTCTCCTCGCCGCAGCACCGCCCGGCCGGCGTCAGCCCGCTGTCCCTGAGCACGGAGGCAAGGCGGCAGCAGGCCCAGCAGGTGTCGCCCACTCTCTCCCCACTGTCACCCATCACTCAGGTGCGAGGGCTCAGTGGGGCGGGGGAGGTGGGGCCCGGCTCTGCCTCTCTGGGAGGCCTCACGCTCCTTCCAGGGAGCAGAATCCTGAAAATCTTGCCAACATTTTTTTTTTGCTTTTTGTTGTCAAATTTTCAAACACACGGGGAATGCAGAAATCAGTGGCCTGGATTCCCCTGTGCCCATCATGGCTGTTAGCTTGTGCCCGTGTGACTGGGCATTCTTTATTATGCTGTTCTCTTCTTTAAGATCTAGTTGCAATTTCCCCAAATAAAACGTTCAGAGAAGGTTCCCCCCACCACCACCAATTTACCATGTTTGCTTTGTCTGCTTCTTTGGTAGTTTTGTGTGTGTGTAGGAGTTGGTCCGTTTCATCAGAGTTATCCCACGTGCCAGCACACAGTCGTTCGTAGTACTCTCATAATCCTTTTCATTTCTGTGAAGTGGTTAGTAACGTTGCCCCTTTCGTTTCCGATTTCCATAATTGGAATCTTCTCTTTTTTAGTCAATCCAGGCTCATAGAACGAGTTAGGAAGTGTTCCCTCCTCTTCTATTTTGTTGAAAAGTTTGAGAAGCATTGGTATTAATTCTTCTTTGAACATTTGGTAGAATTCAGTGAAGGTGCTGCGGTCTTGGCAGATCTTCACTGGAAAGTTTTTGGTGGCTGATCCCACCTCCTTACTCATATCGGTCCTACTCAGACGTCCTTTCCCTTCTTGGGTCCGTTTCGGTAGTCTGTGTGTTCTGAGGAATTTGTCCGCTTTGTCTGCTTTTCAGTCCCTAATAGATAATATTGTTTCTTCGGTTTTTAACATGACCTCGATGGTCTTATCCACCCACAACGAAATTAACAGTAGTTCTTCTATACCTTCTGATGCCCGGCCTGGTCTCGGCTGTCCACAGTGTCTCTGTCTCTTGTACGGTTCTTGTTCAGATCAGGATCCAAACAGAGCCATGCGTGGCTCCTAGCGGCTGTGTCTTCAGTCTCTTCATCCGTGACCCCAGCCTCTTCTCCCCTCCCCGCCACGCCCCACCCCTGAGGCCTGCCTTCCCTTTCCGGAAACTGCCTTCCGGCCACTCCTTTCCTGCGTCCTGCTAAGTGTTTACATCCTGTAGCTCCTGGGCATATCCAGCCTCCCTCAGAGGGCAGGAGCCCATGCCTGCCTGCCTGCCTGAGGAACTGTCCGCACAGACTCATGAGCCTGGAAAACTTGCCTCTGGTTATTTTCCTCTTTCCAACTCCAAGAGGGGCCCGAGCTGGTCATTGCCGAGTGACCACACAGGAGCCTCCGTCAGCCCCACCGTCTCCAGCCTCCCCTTGGTGCCCAGGCTGCAGGGTGGCGGGAGGGGGTTCCTTCTCCCCGGCAGGACCCCACAGGGGCTAGGTGCTGGATCCCCGCTGGGCTACCAGAGTGTGGTGCCCTGTGCCTGCCCACAGTGGGGAAACTCCAGCTCAGAGAGGCGGGGGATGGGGGCGGAGCATCCTGAGTCTCTGCAAGTGTGGAAGGGTGTGCAGCGAGAAAGGCTCACTGGGGGCAGGCCTACTGAGCTGCAGCCCAGTCCTCCGTGGGCCTTGGGGGAAGCCCGCTCCGCTTCCCTGGTCCAGGGTCTGGACATCCCTCTGTTCATCTCTCACTTCAGTGTCAATCACGCCAGGCCATGGGGGTCCCCTGGGGGCCAGGTGCTCACAGCCCGCTCGGCCCACTCCTTTGAGCATGTGTCCCACCTGATGCCCTCCTCTCCATTCAGGCCGTGGCCATGGATGCCCTGTCTCTGGAGCAGCAGCTGCCCTACGCCTTCTTCACCCAGGCGGGCTCTCAGCCGCCGCCGCCGCCGCCTCAGCCTCAGCCCCCGCCCCCGCCCCCGCCTGCGTCCCAGCAGCAGCCGCCCCCGCCGCCCCCGCAGGTGCCTGTCGGCCTCCCCCAGGGCGGCTCCCTGATGCCGAGCGCCAGCCTGACTCGGGGGCCCCAACTGCCCCCGCTTGCGGTCACGGTACCATCCTCTCTCCCCCAGTCCCCCCCAGAGAACTCGGGCCAGCCGCCGATGGGGATCGACACTGCCTCGGTAAGCCCGGGGCGGGGCCTGACGGCGGGGGGTGGGGGGCGGGGGGTGGGGCTTGTGCAGGAGGAGCCCAGGGGCTGTGGGAGACCCCCATCAGACCTGCAGGAGGAGTGTCACGGTGCCTGGCTTTATCTGCAGCCACCTTGAGGCTCCACTTTGAGGCCAACTTGGCCAGGGGTTGGGGCTGAGGCAAACACTGCCTGGGGCTGGGAGCTCAGTGGGGTATTCTCCCTCGAATCCTCAAGCCAAGTTTGTCACCCCGGTATAGATGGGGAAACTGAGGCACAAGCAGGGGTCAGGTGCCCCAGACTTCACCCAGGACGGGCCACCCCACGTCTGGCTGCCAAGCCCTCCCCCATAGCCCCGATTGCCCCCCTCAGCCCTTCCCACCCAAGACAAGGCTTCCTCGGGGGCAGGGAGAACACGGAGCTCTCAGGGCCTCGGGAATGGACTTCTGAGAGCCAGAGGGATGGAGATGAACTTGGAGGAGAAGAAGGGATGAAGCCAGTTCTGTGATTCATACAGCACAGTGCCCTGGGCTGGGGGCCTGCAGCTCAGACAATGGGACCCCCTTGCCTGGGGCCAGGCTTGGGGTAACAAGTGCTAGGTTTTGACCCCTGCACCCCAAACCTTCCTGCTTGTTCAGACTTTCACCCAGGTTGCCCTGATGGGAAGGGAGTGGTCACAGCTACCTTTGACCACATCCAGAGGAACAGGGACCCACCTTTGGGGCCCAGCCAGCCCTCTCCACTCACTTGGCCCATGGCTGCCAGCCCCAGGATAAATGTCATCAGAACATCATGTGCTCTGTGAAGAACAGGCTCCCCCTGGGTTGGCCAGGGCGGGCAGGTAACCCAACAGGTAGAAACCCACATTTCCAGGCTGCTCTGATCCCTCAGAGGGCAGACCTCAGGGGTCCCCTTGGATGGGACTGCACCCAAGCCTTGCCTTGGGCAGAAACACAGCAGGTATGGAGGTGGCTCTGACAGTGGGGCTGCCTGGGGCACCCAGTTCCATGACACCCTGCCATGGCAGTGCCTCTCTGTGGACCTGGGGGGACATAGGAGACATGGGCTATCCAGGCCAGGCTCTCAGGTCAGGGCGCTGTTGTCGGGCAACCCCCTCCCCTCCCGTGGGAGTGGTGGATCCCTCAGGGCTCAGGTTCCAGTGGCCTCCTCTGTGAGTTTCTGTAGATCCACCCAAGCGAGGAGAATGTCCCTCTGGTCATTTTCCTCTTTCCAACCCGAAGAAGGCCTGAGCTGGTCATTGCCAAGTGACCATGCTGATGTCTCTGACACCCACACCCTCCTGCACGAGCCCCCTGCCCCATCTGGTCTCAACCGCCATCCCAAACTGCTCAGAACAGGCCGCTGAGGAAATGAAGGAGACATAGCACTTAAGGAGCCCTGGGCCGGCCGGCTGGGTCTCACTGAACAAGCTCAGAGAGGTCAGGCAGCTTGCCCAGAGGCACACAGCAGGGCCTCACTGGTTAGGACCAGAGCAGCGTCTAAATCCAGGTCCTGGCCGAGCTCGTCCTGCCCCCCAGAAGTCTGATAAGAAGCCAAGACCCTTTGTCATTCGAGTGAGGAGGTGGCCGTCCTTTGGAAGTCTGTGGACAGCGTAACCGGCGGACTTGTCCCAAGCAATACCAGTGGTAGTGACTACCTGGCGCCAGGAGCCCTGCAGTGTGCCCCAGGTGGCCTTGGCTGTCAGCCCGAGGGCATCTGACCGGCCCTGGCCTTCCCTGCCCTTGCGGGTGTGCGTGTTCACACGTGTGCGGCTGTGTGCACACGTACGTGGGTGTGGTGTGCGGTCGTGTGAGTGCTCTAAAACCTGCTGAGTAGAACTGATCCCTCCGCCCCTCCCCAGCCCCCCAGGGCGATTCTGTGAGGCTGGGTTCCATGCTCTCTGACAGAATGCCCCCACCCTTCCCAGAGTTGGGTTTGGAGTTAGGGCCCCTTGAGGCCCTGGGCTCAGGTGCCCTCCTGCAGGTGCCCTGGGTATTCAGCTCACCTGAGGGATGGGGGCCCTGCCGGGGGTGTCAGCAGCGAACAGCCAGTCCCGGGAAGCCAGGCCTGGGGCCCCGCGAGCATCCTGACCTGTCTGTCGTCACAGGCGCCGGCTCTGCAGCAGTACCGTACTAGTGCTGGCTCCCCAGCCAACCAGTCTCCCACCTCACCCGTCTCCAATCAAGGCTTCTCCCCCGGGAGCTCCCCGCAAGTAAGGGACGCCGCCTCCCCTCCCCGGCCTCCCCCACTCCAGCCTAGCTGGCACCCCCCCACGTGTCCCCCATCCACCTGTTTGTCCGCCGTCTGTGCCTCCCGTCTCACTCCACCCCATCTTGTTCACTCCACGCCATCTTGTTCACTCCACCGGGGTGGGGACCGGTGAGGGGTAGCCACCCTGGGCAGTGGCCAAGGAGAAGGCACCCTCTCCCGGAGCTGTCACATTCCCTCGGCGCCTCTGTGGTCCGCGCCAAGCCCCAAGTGGGGTTGGCGGGCTCCCCATTCGCATCGGTGACGTTGGTGTCGCCTTCGCCCCAGCTCTTCACCCCGTGGCTGGGATGCTGAGCCCAGCGTGCGGCTCAGAGCAGGCATCGAGCAGCCCGTGCACCCGTCCCCACCCATGTCTGCCCGCCCTGAGGCCTCCTGCTTCCAGGCTTCTGGAGGTGGAGGCGTGCTCCCCCTGCGTCAGGGTGCAGCTGAGGTGACGGCCAGCGTGTGATGGGGGCTCTGACTCTTCAGCCCCCTCTGCCCCTTAGGATGGCGTGTCTCTCGCCTTCAGACCCCCAGCACAGGAAGCAGCCCCTCCAGTGTCTTCGTCCTCTTCCCACAGATGAGACTGAGGCTTGCCCCAGGCAACAGGCAGGGCTAGATCATGTCTATCAGACTCAGGTTTTCCCTCCATACCAGGCACCACAGGACCCCGATCTCTGACACAGACACACACACACACCCCTTCCAGGTTCCTCAGAATCCCTCTTGGCTCTGCTCCATCCATGGGTGCATTCTGTCTCGAACCTTCCATCAGGGGAGAAGGGTTTCCTGCAAAACTGACATCCAGGCCCCAGACTTCTTGCTGTAGCAGCAGAGCCTCCCCAGGACCCCACCACCCCATCCCCAGGCTGAGAAACCTCAGGAGCTGCTGCAGTGCCCAAGACCCTGAAGTCTCCTTCTCAGCCAGGGGAAGATAGGGCCTTACTTCCCGGGTAGAGCAGGGGGAGGAGCTGTTCCTCCAGGCTGGACGTGGGCTCCCTTGTCCCCGGCGACATGCCCCGCTGTCCATCTCCCAGGCTCGCAGCAGCACACCCCGAGCCAGGCCCTGTGTGTCAGGACAGTAGACCTAGTCCTCAGGGGACCTGAGGCTGTTCTCATGGCTCACTGATACAGGAGGGGCGCTCCCTCCACCACCCACGGCAGCCAGGGGTCCCGCTGGGACTGTTGGCGTGCAGCCCCCCACTCCGCAGAAGGCAGGGAAGGTGCAGTGAGCTCGGGGCCGGCCGGGGGTCAGCCTGGTGTCTGCATGCTCTCTGTCCATCCCTGTCGGCTCTGAGCTCTCGCGGCTGGTCTCGTCACGTGGTGCTGAGGGGACGCGGGAGTGGGAGAAGTTGGTCCAGGCAGGGGAAGCGATAGGGGGCGCCTGCCCGAGGTGGGCAGCCCTGCCTGGGGCTGGTGTACGTGAGGCAGGACAGGAATTTAAGGGTGGAGCAGATCACTCTCAGGAGAGGTTCTCCTGCACCAAAGTGGGCCATTCTGAGCGGAAAGCACGTCGCTGTCTCATCAAGCCCGTGTCTGTGTGTCGGTTTGTCCGTCCGTCAATTGGGCACTGGCCAGGGAGGCAGGCTGCTCACTCAGATGTGAGGACGGGGCCGGCAGGCTGTCTGGCCCCAACCAGGGGCTCGCTTGGGGGCAAACCATGGTTTCCCACTGCAGCTGGATCTCTGGGGACATACTCATCAGCCCCATGGGCCTGGGTCACCCCACGCCTCCCCGGCCCAGCCAGCATCTCCCCTGGACGCACGAGGCAGCCGCCTTGCCCCACTTGGCCCCAAGCGGATGTCGCGTGTGTCCGGCTGCACCCTGAACCTTAGGCAGCTAGAATTGGCTCCTTTGTGCTGCCCCCTCCAGCCCCAGCCCTTCCATTCTGGGCAGACCTTTCTGGCAAACCCTCATGGTAGCTTCACAGGAGAAGCCATATCTGGGGTCTCCTGCGTGTGCCGGGCCTCTCTGGGGTCAGGGCCATGGGGACAGGGTCAGGGGCCGCAGAACAGCCTGCCCCCGGCCCCAGCCAAGGCCATCATCTACCCGCTTCACAGGTACCCCGCAACCTCACAGCCCCCTTTTCCAAACCTGAGGCTGGCGCCTTTTAGGGCAGGTGTGGCCTTTTTGCCACATTGTCTTTTTTGCTTCTTACTCCTTTCGCATTTCTAACTCTTTCCTGGTGTTTGAATGGAATGTGCATCCCCAGGAGCCACCGCACCAGCCGGAGTGACTGTCCCTTTCTGCGGTCAGTCCACTGAACACCCGGAGCGGCTGGGGGCCTCGTGGCCAACTCCTCTCTGGGATGGAGGCCTGAGAGTCAAGCTTTGGCGGTTGTCAGAGAACGCGGGGGCCTTTCTAGAATAGAGAGCTCAAAGCGGGGGGGTCCAGGGCCTGTGGTCCGTGAAGACTCTGACCTGGAAACGGCCGCAGGGGAGCGACTTCTGCAGGGCCACCCTGTTCTACAGAGGAGGAAACAGGCCAGAGCTCCCAGCCTCGGGGACGCCGAGGGCCCTGGGCGGGGCATCTGTTTCCCCAGGTCTGTTGCCTCCGGTGTGACTTGGCGACACACACGGCCATCCCTTTCCTCCCTTCCACATCCCGCCAGACTCTGTCCTGCCATCTCCCTGGCAGCATCTTGAGAATGGGCGGGAGCTCCACAGTCCTATTCTTGGCATCTCCACTGCCTCAGAGGATCCCCAGCCCCCTGCTCCTCTCCCAGGGGCAGCCCCCATCCCTCTGCCCCAGCTGGCATTGGGCAAACCGGAGTGGGACTGCCTGCCATCCCCCAGGCCCCAGGGCCTCACGGGCAGGCAGGCAGCCGCGGCTGGACAGGTGGGCAGGGGCTTTCCGTGTGCCTGTCCCGTGCTCACTCTGTACACCCTTCCTGCCCACGTGTGTGTGGCCTGCTGCCTGTCCCGCGCCTCCCGTGTCTGACAAGGTACGCATCCCACCCTGAGCACCCAGAGTATCTCCCGCCTTGCCCCACTCACACACTTTCCCCTGTCAGGTGGGGTTTCCGGTCCCTGTGGCCCCTCGTCTTCCATCAGACGACAGCGGGTTCACCCACACCTGAGCTTAAGGAGAGGAGATGGGATGGCACTTTGGGAGAAGTTGGGCGGCAGAGGCCCCCTCCCCAGGAGCAGGTGGTGGAAAGGAGCAATCATCCCGAGAGTAGGGGTGCACCCCTCCACCCCAGTGGGTGTGGGCTCTCCCAGGAGCCCTGAGATAGACGTCATCAGCCTCTCATGTCCTGAGCATCTTCCAGGAAGTTCCAGAGGCCTCCCTCCTCTCCCAGCCCAGGCCGGTGGTGAGGTCCTGGGAGAAGGGTATGGGTGCAGCCAGCCCGTGGGAGCACCACCCCCACCCCCCACGCCATAGCAGCCTCACCCCCTGCCTGGTTTTGGGAACCCTGACGACAGTGGGCCTCTCTTCTGTCTGCAGCACTCTTCCACCCTGGGCGGCGTGTTTGGGGACTCATACTATGAGCAGCAGATGGCGGCCAGGCAGGCCAATGCTCTGTCCCACCAGGTGAGCAGGCGCCCACCGCAGACGCTCGCCAGACCCCGCCCGCTCCTCTGCGTGAGCTTCTCAGCCTCTCCAGTCTCCAGACTGCAGAGGCCCAGGCCCTGGAGGGGGTGGCTTGGCTTGGCCTCTCCTGGCGTTTGCACCCTGCCTGCAGAACGAGGCCGCCAGCGGAGGGGGGAGGAAGGGTAGGCGGTGAACGCTGGTAGGGACGGGCAGTGGCTGTTACAGCGGTGCCTCGGTGTGGGCCGTGCACGTGGGTTTGCCGGGAGGTTGCAGTGGCTTTGCGTGAAGGCCGGGATTGGGGGCGTGTGGGCACGGGAAGGGTTGGCTGCAGCCTGGAGCTGTTCACTCACTCACTTATCCATCCATCCATCCATCCATCCATCCAGCAAGCTCTGAGGGGGCCGTGTGCCGGCAGGCCCAGGCAGGTTCGGAGACGGGGAGACCCCAAGGCAGAGGGACTCATGCTTGGCAGCCCCAAGTGTACCTTGGCACGGGTGCTGGCCGTCCTGTAGGGGAGGAGGTGCTGGCGGTCGCAGGCAGGCCGGCCAGCCAACCACGGCCGGGGCCCCAGGGTGGCCAGCTCGGGGGGCTGGCCTCACACCTGTATGCTTCCTGTCCCAGCTGGAGCAGTTCAACATGATAGAGAATGCCATCAGCTCCAGCAGCCTGTACAGCCCGGGCTCGACACTCAACTACTCACAGGCGGCCATGATGGGCCTCACGGGCAGCCACGGGAGCCTGCCGGACACACAGCAGCTCAGCTTCCCCAGCCACGGCAGCATCCCCAATATCATCCTCACAGGTGAGAGGCCGGGGGAGATGGAGTCCCTGCCCTGCGGGGTGAGGCGCAACGGGGCTGAGGTGTCCCTGCCCAAGGAGGCCAGAACCCACCGACCTCGGCTCACTGCTGGGCTTACAGGACACAGGCTGGGGAGACGCACACTGGACCCTGGACCAGGTGTCCGGTGTCCCAGGCTCAAGAGTGAGAACAGGATGAAACCGGTCTCTCACCTAGCCCTTCACCTCCTGCCCAGCCCCCTGAACCCCCACGTGCCGGGGATGCATGTGACTGTGGGGTGGGCCCTGCCTGCTGGGGCTTGTCCCGTGCAGCTGACAGAGCTCGCGCATGCTGCGTCGGGCCGCCCCGAGCGGCCTGAGCACAGTGCCCAGGCACCCAGGCTTGCGCACGCTCATGTTGAGTGAGTCTTCTCCCAGCAGAGCTCAGACGCTGCAGTCCCCCACCCCCACCCCTCGTCATGCCCCTGAAGGTCCTAGGTTTTATCAAAGACGGAGGTGGCTTCCTCATAAGCCAGGGCTGTCGGGGAATTGAGGGTGAGACCCTCTCAGCAGTCCCCACTGACATCTCTAGGATGGAAGGGGTTCCCGCCCAGAGCTCCCCACAGCCGGAGTGCAGACCCAGTGCCTCCTCCCCGCCCCAAGGGTCTGCAGGAGATGCTCTGGTTGTAGAAGCCTTGGCCTTGGAGGTTGTGTGAGAAGGATCAGGCCTCTGTGATTGTCCAACAGCCCAGAAAGAACGAAACTTTCATATATGTTTCCCAGATTGGGAAACTGAGGCCCAGGATCTCACCACAAGTAGAGGAAGGAGCCCAGGTGTGAACCTGGGTCTCTGCAGGGAAACCCGGGCTTCCCTCCAACCCACAGGGAGGCCCCTGATGCACATGGAGCAGACTGCCTGGCAGAACCTGGCAGAGACTGAGAGGCCCCTGCTCCCTCCAGGTCACACTGAAGTCTGTGTCGCAGCCCTCATCCCAGGGCTTTCCGGCCCTGGTCCCCTGACATCTGGGTTGGGACTGTTCTGTGTGCTATGGGGTGTTGAGCAGCATCCCTGGCCTCCACCCACCTGATACCAGTAGCATTCCCTCCAGTCGTGACAACTAAAAATGTCCCCAGACGTCGCAAATGTCCTTTGGGGAACACACTACTCAGGTGAGCTCCCTGGTATGGCCTGAGGATTGATGGGAGCCATGGAGGCGCAGAGTCGGGGTGCGGGGAGTCAGGGCCAAGCTGAGCCTTTTGTGTGTACCCCCCACCCCCAGTGACAGGAGAGTCCCCTCCCAGCCTCTCTAAAGAACTGACCAGCACGCTGGCCGGGGTCGGTGACGTCAGCTTCGATTCTGACAACCAGTTCCCCTTGGACGAACTCAAGATTGACCCCCTGACCCTGGACGGACTGCACATGCTCAATGACCCAGACATGGTCCTGGCCGACCCGGCCACCGAGGACACCTTCCGGATGGACCGTCTGTGAGCCGCACGCTCGGCACACGGCCGCCCAGCCCCCGGCTCCGTCACCCCACTGGTCAGTGGTCCCCACGGCGTCTCCCCAAGCCTGGGGACGGTGGCGCTCCGTCCCTCGCAAACGGCCGAGCTTGTGATTCTGAGCTTGCAATGCCGCCAAGCGCCCCAGCCCACCCGCCCGCCCACCCCGGTTGTCCACCTCCCGCGTGAGGCCGCGTGTCGTCGCCCCCGCGGACCCTCCCTCCCTGCTCTCTCGTCCCCCTGTAAGATGCGGAAAGCGTGCTGGGCAGGGCCGCCGGCCTCGGGGGGCGCCGTGCTCTGCGACGGTGGTGGGATGAGGTGCATCTTGCGACTGTTGTCCAGCTCTCACTGCCTTCCTTTGTCCCCGATCCCCCCACCCGCCCGCGCCCCCAGCCCTTGGTTAGGTAGCGAGCCAGCCCCACCCCGCCGAAAGGAGAAGGCGCCGGGGGCGGGGGGTGGGCGGACATGAAGCAGAAATAAACACTATTTGGACTGCCGTCTTTTATATTTCTGAGCACACACAGAACACTAGACTCCATCCCACGGAGGTGGGATGCGAACATGTGAAAGGAGCATGCGAAGCAGCTACATCTCCCCCGGGGGCCAGTAGGGAAGCCCATGCCCCCGCCTCGCCACCCCCAGCTGGGCCCCTTGGTGGCCACCTTTGCTGTGAAATCCCCACCCAGGCCTGTCGGGGATGCACGTGGAGGGGGGGATTATTTCTAGGGGGTTTTGCGACTTGTTTCCTCTTTCTTTCTCTGTACCGTGGTCACTGTTACTATTATTTAAAGAATGGCCGGGGGCGGGGGGCGGGTGGAGGCGGCCGGGGCATTTTTTTGGTTTGTTTCTTTCGGTTTGTATTTACATTTTGGTTGTAGATGAATAACTGACTCCTTCAAGCCAACACTTGCCTGAGAGCATGTTTTTATTCTAGAAATCCAGCGTTATAATATTTGTAAGCTAACTGGAAGCGGTCTGCTGCCTGCCCGGGTCTGAGCTGCATCTCCGGCCTTTTTACTTTTGCTCCGTTATCCCAAAACAGAAGGACATGAGGTTGGGCTGGGCTCGCTGGCCTGGGTGGGCACTCTGGCAGAAGCTGGCAGCAGCGGCCAGAGGGGCCTCTGCTCTGATCCCTAACGGACTTCTGGGAAGGAGCCCCGGCTTCCATCAGGGGTCTTGTGAAGACCCAGCTCTGCCCGGCCTTCCCAAAGGTGCCAGCCAGTCCTCAGGGCAGGCCTGTCCTAGACCCCGTGGCTGGCGGCAGCAGCCGCGGCCCCTCTGTTCTGAGATGCCCCAGAGACGAGCCTGTCCTCAGCACCCCCATCCCGAGGTCCAGCCGACATTCATCCCCTCCCACCATCCCGCCATCTCTTTCGTAGCCCTTCCTGGCAGGGCTGGATTTGGAGGCAAAGAGCAGTGTGCATTTTAGCGGCTGGTTTCCAGGTGCTTCTCAGAGTGCCTCAGGAGGCCCAGGTGACCATCCATCGGGGCTCACTGGCGCACCAGAGGCCATCTGTCTGCCCTGCAGGCCCTGCGAGGGGGCGACAGGGCTGGCTTTGTGTTCTGTCAGTTGCTTTGGAATAGGAACGTCCGTTTCATTCCCTCCGACATCGCATCTCGAGTTCTTACTCGCTCCTCCACCTGCCAGCAGGGCTGGCACCTCCTGCCTGGTGCGTTTCCGCCTCCGTCGGGGTCTTGGGAGCGCCCGCCTCTGTCTGTGGGAGCCAGATTTGATCCTAGCGACCATCCCTCTCTCTTGTTCCCTGGCCGGGCTCTTAGCACGTGGCCAAGTGGCCGCGTGGCCCCACAGACGGGAAGCCCCCTGTCCTCGGTCACTTGGCCTCCGCCGCTGTTGTCTGGACTGGAGTTAGGTTTAGTGTCAGTCCATCCAGGTCAAGGGCCCGTCTTCTTTCCAGGGCTGGGGGCAAAGAGTTGAGGACTCTTTCTTTTTTTAAAGAAAAACTACATGTATGTACATAGAAGGGTTTGATTACCATTAGACTTGTATGTAGAACTTTTTTTAAAAAATGGCCTTAATAAAATTACAAGCAACCTTCCTGGATGCAATTTTCAAACAAGGAGTTGGGGACCCCGTGAGGGAGCCCCGTCAGCCCACATTTCCCATCTGCCCAGCAGTGGGTTCTTGGTGCAGATGGGCAGGGAAGGAGGGACTGTCCAGCCCCATGGCGCGTTTCTAGCATCCCTAGGCCAGGAGCACAGGTGACACTGTATTAACACGGCAGCCTCAGCCCATGAGGGGCGTAGGTGCAGAGCTTTCCCAGGGAGGGGATCCAGCCAGGAGCCAGCGGGCAGGCGTCCTCAAAGGGTTCACTGCCCCCTCCTGGGCCTGGGCAGGCCTCTGGGGGTCTACAACAGGGGATTTGGGGTTTTTTCTTAAATATCATTTCTCTACTAAATATTGAATATGAGTTGCCAAGACTTTTAGAAACAGGACAGCTTAAGGGAATCAGCCCTTTGACTTGTGACGTGAAAATACTGTGATTTCAGACGAGCTGCGCCGTGAGGTGTGAGCTGGAGCCCCTGCGTCGTGTATATAGACCCGCTCGCTGTGGCCGAGCCCCCCTCAGCTGTGCAAACCTTTCCTCCGGGAGCGTGAGCCAACCAGCGTGTCCCCACCTGCCTCAGCTTACCCTCTGTCCTCTGAGCCCCCAGGGTGGTAAATTTGTTCCCCCGTGAGGCTCCATGGGCCGAGGATGAGACCTGGGGTCAACCTGTCTCTGTGTCCCCCAGAGAAGAGAGTTCATGCCCCTGGTCCCCACCCTCCGCCTGTCAGCATCACCCCCTGCAGTGCCCAGGGTTGACTTGGGGAAGGAGGAGTCTCATCGGGGTCACATCCCTGTCTCAGGTACCCGTGAGGACCTCCCCCCGCACCGTGCCCTTAGCAGAGGGAAGACAGGCAGCACTGTTTGGGGTACCCTGCAGCCCCCCCCCCCCGCTTTCCTTGCACGCCTTGCTTCCCCCCAGCGCTCTTCCGGGCAAGAAGGGTAGGGGCCAGTCCCCTGGGGCAGGGGGCCCTGAGACCCTCAGTGGAAAGCTCAGGGAGCAGGTCGACCCTTCAGCAAAATTTGGAGGCCCACGGCCAGCGGTATCCAAAAACCAGTGAGGCTTCCCTGTGGGGACAAGTACACAGCAGAAGGGACCCTAATTGCGTTGGGTCCAGCCCCCAACCCCAGTGTGGTCCACGGAGTTCCCTGGGACCAGGCCTGCGAGGCTGGAAGGCAAGGGCAGGTGTGTGTGTTTGCAGCCCTTTCCCCAGCAACGCCTCCATTCACTGGGAGTGCTTGGCCGGCCTTTGCAGCCTGTGTGCTGTTATCTCCTTGTGGGTGTTGAGGGCTGGGCAGGAGGGTTCTGACGTCGTAGGTGTGTTTGACCAGATTTCTTCAGGTGGCCGACCTCCGACCTCCGAGGAGGGCGGCCAGCCAAGTGGGCCCATCGTGAGGCCTGTGTGTCACAGTGGCGCGGGCAAGGACAGCTGTCCATCTGTCCGTCCATCAGATGCTGTGAGACTCCTGCGTGGAGGGCGAGACGTCCCGTGTCGTCCATCCATCCTGCTGGGGTGGGTGTCCAGTTTGGGGGCTGCGTGCATGCTGGGTGCTGGCCACGGCCTGGTCACAGGGGACGGGAGTAGGTACGAGGCCCATGGAGGTGCTGGGTGGGACTCAAGCAGCAGGGGTGACCCCCCTCTGTCCAGCCTCCTGGGCCTAATGAGCCCCCATGATCACCTTCTCCTAGAGAAAACTTGTTGACCTGGAGGCCTCCAGGCAGCTGAGAACGCCTGGGATGGTACACCCCTCCCCAGACCTCCACACCCTGAGCTAGTTCATAACCAAACTTGCTGCCGAGCTCCTGCCCCCAACTGGATTCTGAGTCTTCTGCATTTCCAAAGAAGGCATCCCCACCCCAGGGTGCAGGCTGGGTGTGGTGAGGCCTGGTGGGGTCAGGAGACCCCCGCCCCCAGCCCTGACACAGCAGTAGCAGCACCCATCACCCTCACTGGGTTCTGAGGGAGCCATAGTCAGAGTCCTCAGGGTGCCTGCCCTTGGCGTAGTGTTGGGGCACAGGGGTGCAAGGTCAAGGGTACCTGCTGCTCTTGGGCCTGGCCTACCACCCCTGCAGGTGACGCTTCAGGTGAGGGAGCTGTGGCCACCTGAGCTCCACGCCGCCGCCCCCCCCCCCGCCACGTGACCTGAAGAGCTGGGGGAGGATTTGGCACCTCGCCTACCCTGGGAGGCCTGCCTGGGGTGAGTGGGCAGACAGGTCTGTTTCTGCCCGAGTTCTCCGTGGACGCTGGGCCCCCATCCCTTGGGGGGCCTCACATCATATGACAGGGGTCCTTGGGACATTCCTTTGTCAGGCCCTGCCCGGCCAGCTTGGCCTGAACCAACTCTTTTTGGCTTCCTCGGCTTTTGGGGGTCCTGGCTGCGTGGGGCTCAGGCACCTCTCCTAACCGTTGGTGTGCCACAGGTGGCTGGCCACAGACAAGAGTTCTACCCCAATGGAGGTGGGGTGACCTGCACCCCCAGGCCTGGGCGCTGGGGTGCTCCTGGAGGCGCCGGCGGGCAGACAAGACCCTTGTGACCCGGGCCTCAGTTCCCTCTTGTCATTAGCTCAGGCCCACGGGTCTCAGGGCCCCAGGCTCATCCCAGGCAGGGGCTGGACGTCAGGGACTGGTTCCAGACAGCTCCCTCTGCCTTCTGCCCTCCTGGCCAGTGCCCAGCACCCTGTCCCGAGGAGCCAGTGACACTTGGGTTGCCCCCATCTTGCAGGGTTGTGGAATTTGGGGGTAATCGATGCCCAGCCTGTCGTTTCTGGCCTCCTGCCAACCGGGGACAAGGGGACACAGCTGTGGCATTTGCTACCAGACTCCGGAAGGGAGGGCTTTGGCAGTCAAGGTCCACTGACCCCGCCATGCCCTCCGTTGGAAACTGCCCCTGCCCCTCCAGGGACTGGGCACTGATATATGCAAACCTGCCAGTCCAAGCCCTGTCCCACTCATGTCCCTCTTTCCCCCAGGCTGGCTCTGCCCCCACCCCCAGCATGTACATTGTGCTGTAGATGTCCCGTGGGCCGCACGCGTGGGTGCCCATGGCGGGCGGGGGCGGGCGCTCAGGGCGCACTTGGCCGGCCCCTGCCCATCCTCTCTGACGTGGACGCTATCGTCTGTGTACCTTTGCATCCTTTGTAATGAAACGTAATAAAAATACAATGTTTTCATCTCTGCCTCCTCCCCTTTTTTCCTGCCCTCTCCTCCCCTCTGGAGGATGAACTGTGGGTGTTGCAGGCGCACCAGGCAGGAGCCACACAGGGGCCACACACACAGACACAGACACACGGACACGCAGGCATGAGCCCCTCACACACACACCCCAGGATCCTGGGGCAGACGCCCCAGGAGGGTGAGTGGGATGCAGCAGGGCCGGACACTCCTAGTCAGGCTTCTAGGGCCCCAGCCAGTCACGGGGGGAGAGAGTGGCAGGCCCCCAACTCTCCCAAGGCCTGAGTTTGGGGTCCCTGGCCTCTCCCCAGGGGCTCGACCCTTCCATCTCCCCTCAGCAGAGACCACAGCCGGCTTGTTCCGCCACACACACACTTTATTTTGTCCTCTTTGAGCCCCTCTCCCTCCCCACCAGGCCAGCTGCCTCTTGGGGCCGGGTGCTGATGGCCTCCCACAGTGAGGGCAGCCGTGAGGGTGGCCGTCATCCAGTGGCGGGTCCCCACCTGTGTCCCTAGGCCTGCAGCAGCCTCTGGACCTCGTAGTCCTCAGGGATGGTGTCTGTGGAGAGAGGATGAGCAGGTGAGGGGGGGTGAGGCTGGGCGGTATGGACTCCCCACCTTCCCCAACAGGGTCGTCTTACCATTGCAGCGGTAGCGCAGGTTGGCCCAGATGATGTTCTCCTGGGAGAAGCAGAAGACTCCCAAGCGGCCTCCCCGCATGGTCGTGTCCAGGACCACATTGCTGTCCGCAACCAGCTCCGGGCCCTCGTAGAACCTCACTCTGCGGAGAAGGAACGGACTGTGATTCGGGGCCCTGGGCCAGGTGCCTCCTCCCCTCTCAGAGCTTCAGCATCCTGCCCCATGAGCTAGGCCCCCTCCTCTCTAGGAGAGGGGGCCATATGTCTCCCTGCCTGGGCCATGCTCAGGGCAGAGGGGGCTCCTGACCTGAGCCTCAGTTTCCCTGTGTGAGAGGATGGACATCTAGGGCCCTGCACACAGTAGGTGCTAAGCGTAGTGCCTGGTCTTCCTGGCAGTGTAGAGTGGGGATTGAGAAACCAGGAGTGAGTGAGACCCCCCTACTGCTGTGTGCAGAGTCCAGAACCACCGGACCCTTGAGCCCAGACCACCCAAACTGGCCCCGCCTTTTCTGAGTCCAGGCCCCCCCATGTCTCACCTCTCCTCTGGCCCTGCCCCCTGAGCAGCTCCCTGCACGGCCTGGCCCCTCCCCCTGTCCTGGGACGGGTATCATGCCCTAGGGCCAGACAGTTATTTCTAAATGCCTGTATTATTCCCATTTTACAGATAAGGGGACCGAGGCCCCCTGAAGCACTCCCCCTTTCCCTCAAGAGCCAGGATAGAGCAGGGACTCCGGGCCCCCTGGCAGAGGGCGGGTTCCCACCTGATGTAGCCCACTTGGGGCCGGTGCTGCAGGAACCAGCGATAGGACGTCTTGTCCTTCCAGCCCACATTGCGGGGGTCCTTCCACAGCAGCCGCACCTGTGACTCTGTGTCCCCCGTGTGCCACAGTGCATTCCGAAGCTGCTCCCCAGGGCCTGTGGAGGACTTCACGGCCTGCCACGCCGGAGAACAAGGGAGTGGGGGTCAGAGACCACACAGGCCACCAGAGTCCCCAGACAGGCAAGGAGCTGTGAGTCATAGAGGAGTGGTGGGGACCCCCAGTATGCCTGGATGGGAGACCCATGAGAAAGCCTTGGGAGCCACGAGGAGCTTTGCAGTCAGGCTGTAGGGGCAGCAGTGGTTTGTGGGATAAACTCGAGTCTAGAGGACTTGGGGAATTCTAGGGTTTCAGTGAAATACTGGGGTCTATGGGGTCTGCAGGAGGATTTGGAACCTGAGGGAAAGTTTGGGGCTCAGTGAGAGGGTTTTGGGGTTCACAGAGAGATTGGGGGATCCCGGGGGAGTGTTTGAGGGCCTGTGGGAGGAACTAGGTAGAAAGACTTCTAGGTCCATAGAATGAGGCCAGGGGCTGTAAGGCTTTGGGGATCTGTGGGAGGGTTTGGGGCCTCCGAGTTGGCACTGAGACCAAGAGTTCAGGTAGGGCCCAGCACCTTGAGCTGGATGCCAGGCTCCGCCACTGCACGGAAGGGGTTTGCCTGCCAGTATGTCTGCTCCATCTGCTTCCACATGACCACATAGAAGCTGGAGCTGTCCTGGTAGCCAAAGATGAAACCCGCGTAGTCGTCATCCGTGACCGTGTTCACGTGGAACGTGCCTTCGAAGTCCACGCCATTGAAGGCCGTGTAACCTGGGGAGAGGAAGGGACGCTAGCCCCTGCCGCACCGGGGCCCAGATCCACTCCCTGGCCCCGCCCCTCCAGAGTCCAGAACGTCCGACCCCTGAGCCCAGACCACCCAACCTGGCCCCACCTTTCCTGAGTCCAGGCCCGCCCCGTCCCACCTCTCCTCTAGCCCCGCCCCCTGCACGGCCTGGCCCCTCCCCGTATCTCACCCACACCCAGGCCAGGGTCGCTGTTCATCGTCTGCACGATCTCCATCCCCTGGTGGGGTTCAAAGGAAGAAGGGCCTCAGGCCAGCCGTGTGGGCCCTCGGCTCCCCGCCCCTAGCTTAGGACCCGCTGTGGCGGTCCTGGGCTCCCCCCACCTCCCGCCTGGGCCCCGCCTGCACCTGGTTGAGCACCACCCAGTTAGGGTCTATCTGCGCGTCGCCCTCGGGGTCCAGCACGACCGTCTGGAAGGCCCGGAAGTCGGTGAGGGTGACCTCAGCGTTCTCCGGACACACATCGATCTTGTCCACCACCTTGTCTGCATCAAAGTCCCCCTGGCACGCGTCGCCCACGCCGTCCCCTGAGAGGAGATGGGAGGCCCCCCCACCGTAGTAGAATCAGCTCCAGGCCCCGCCCCAGGCCTGGCCACGCCCACACAGGCTACCGGCCCTGCCCGCACCATGTCTCCAGCTCCGCTCACACGTGCCACTGGCCCCACCATGCCCACCCCAAATCTCACCCTAGTGGCTCCACACTAGCCCCATCCCCACCACAGGCCCTGCACCCTGCCTTACGGTCCACGTCTTCCTGGCCCGGGTTCGGCACCAGGCGGCAGTTGTCCCGACTGTCGGGGACCCCATCGTTGTCATCATCGTCGTCGCAGGCGTCACCCTGGCCATCGTGGTCTGAGTCCTGCTGGGCGCTGTTGGGCACTGTGGGGCAGTTGTCCCGCGAGTCCTGGTGCCCATCCCCATCCCTAGAGTGGGTGGGTGGGGCAGAGACAATGAGACCCCAGAAAGCTGGATCAAGGGCTGCGCACCCTGGGTGCCCACCTCAGCCCCAGATGTCCTCCTTACTGGTCTTGGTCGCTGTCACAAGCATCTCCCACAAAGTCGTGGTCCACATCCCTCTGTGGGCGGGGGAAGGTTGTAGATGTCCTTAATCAGGGCAGAAGAATTCAGAAGCCTCCCGCCCACCCCCAGTTCCAGAGCCAAGGTCCTTCCTGACGCAGAGGAACACCACCCCACCCCCCACAGGCTGCTGGGACTGGGCTGGAGTCTTGTTAATCAGCCTGGTGCTTAGCCCAGGGGTCTGACCCAGCTGGGGTCCGGCCTGCCCTCACCTGGTCTGCGTTGCTCTTCTGAGGACAGTTGTCACAGGCATCCCCTACACCATCGCCATCACTGTCCTTCTGGTCTGAGTTGGGCACCCTGGGGCAGTTGTCCACTGCGTTGCGGATCCCTGCGGGAAGCAGAAGGACAGAACAGGATCCCAAGATTAGGACGGGGCCAGGCTGACTTCAGCAGGGCAGGTGCAGCCCTGGGGCTAGCTTGGGACAGAGTCCCACCCCATCTTTGGCTCCCAATAACAACAAAGTTAAACCAAGTATTCATGCCCAGTCGCCAGCCTCCTAGAGACAAAATGAATGGATGGCGGTGAGGGGACTAGCTCTGTGAATGCACCACCTCGAGTCTCTGCCCAGATGTAAAAATGGTACCTCCTCAGCCCTAAACCCCAGGCTCACGTCTCTGTCCTCTTATTTCCTCCCTGCAGCATCTAACACAGGGACCACCTTCCCCTCCTCCAAAAGTTCCTTCCTTTTCTCCTCGGCATCATATCCCAGCTTGCATTTTGCTGCCCGCCGGAGCATGGTCCACGGTCCCTGGAGCCCTAGGCGAGCACACCCCCTCCGGCTTCCAAAGGAGGCCGAGCCCCGCCCAGCCAAGCCCCGCCCCTTGGTGCCAGCCCTTCCCTCTCCTCTCCCCCCTGCCACAGAGCTCACGGTCGCCGTCTGTGTCGTCGTCGCAGGCGTCGCCTCGGCCGTCGTTATCCGTGTCCTTCTGATCGTCGTTCTTCTGGGACTGGCAGTTGTCGCATGCATCGCCCCACTTGTCGCCGTCCGCATTGCGCTGGTCTGGGTTCCGCACCAGCGGGCAGTTGTCCTAGAGGTCAGGGCCGGTTGGGAGTAGTCAGGCCTAGAAAGGCAAATGTCACTCCCCAGACTGTCCATCTCCGAGGCCCCGCCTCCTCTGCAGGGAACCCCCTAACCCTCTGGGACCCGTGAGATCAGCCTCTAAGGCCACACCCCTCACTCGAGCCAAGCCCCCATCTAGTCTCACCTAGGCCCCCGCTTTTGCCCCACCTTCTCGTTGAGGACGCCGTCCCCGTCGGCATCCGGGTCGCAGGCGTCTCCGATGCCGTCGCGATCCACGTCCTCCTGCCCTGAGTTGGGCACCGTCACGCAGTTGTCCTAGGGGTGGGCGCGGCGGGCATGAGGGACGCTGCCAGGGAGCCCCGCCCACCCTCATACCAGGCCTCGCCCTTCAGACCCCGCCCACCTTTCGGCACTGGCGCTCTGAGCAGCGCAGCTTCTCGTCGGGAAAGCCGTCCAAATCTGTGTCGCTGCCGCAGAAGACCCCGTTGCCAGCCCAGCCGACACCGCACTGCGGGTGGGGGAGTGAGTGGGTGCTCCGGCGTGGCCCCACCCCAGGACCCTCATCGTACGCCCCTCCTTGGCCCGCTCGCACTCACCACGC